GCAGTGCCTGGAGCCAGTCCTGTTCTCAGCTCTGCAAGAGGCTCCCCCAAAGCCCCAGCCGTGGGGAAGCCTCCACGTGCAGTGTTTGGACATGATGGGGGTTTCAAGCAGAGCCAAAGCTCTGCAGGTGATGTGTGAGCAGTGTCACAGGATCAGATCCCTTCAAAAAGAAAAACAGCTGGATGAAAGCAGTCAGAGCAAAGCTTTTCCAGAGCAACCGGTAATCCCCAGTGCGCAAGTTTAAATCTTTGAAGGCGCACATATTCAGCATCCTCTAAAAAGGTCTTCAGGCTCGCTCTGGAAAGCCCTGACCCATAAGCATGCCCGAGATGCCTCCTCTGAGCATTGCTCCTGGGGTCTGTCTGGTGCGGAGGAAGGAAAGCTCTGCCCTGACAACACCGCGCTCGCCCTTCGTGCTCACCCTCACCACTCCAGCACCACTTGTCATCATTGTGAAAAGAGAAAGAAAAAAACATGGCATCTCCAATTTGTTGTCAGCATTTTTTATAATTAAAAGTTAAGGTGTGGTAGCAGAGGAAACATGGTCCTCACTATCCAAACCAACTACGTTAGCACCATAGGAAACAGAAGTCAACCGCTTCCTCTCTCGCTCCTCCACCCCAGGTACATATGGGATGGACACATGTACAAAGCTTATTTGTTGTGCTTCATCAGCAATTTTTTTTTTTTTTCACTTCACACAAAGGAAATGACCTTTCAGAGGTTAAAAAGCACTTTGTCCAAAAAGCCACATGAATTCAATTTACACTGTTACAACAGAGATTGTTAGCCAAATTACCAGTGTAACTGAATAGCTTAATCACAGACATGCTCCCATACCCACTTTCATGCCCAGCAGATACTAATCACAATGTGTCATCGTATTCTGCAAGGGAATGTGGGGACAGTTTGCCTGGTTTCTCTTTTCACCTTTGCATCAAGCAGACTGACATGTGTTTTAACCCTGAAAACGAAAGCATTCACTTGATCAGTCTTTAATTTATAAGATTACTGGCATTATCAAATAGACTTTGATGCAACGTTTCTTTCATGCTTAAAGCATGGGGGCTAGTGAAGAATGACTGTGCCATGGGATTTGTAGGAAAAAATTGATATTCATACCTCAGGGGAAGACGTGCACCAGAACATGGTAGTGTTGACATACCAAGGAAAGTCAGGCCAGTGGTAGCACAAGTAGCTAAACACAGGATAGATGCTGCTCCTGAAAGTTTTTGGTTTTGCAGCTGCTTATTAACCTCATTTATATAAAAATTTCACTTTGTTTTATTACTCTATAATTAAATCTAAGACAGGTGGCCTATAAAACCAGCATGTGGAGAGCCCTGCCAAAAGCTTTATTTCCTTAAGTAGTATCAGGACACCCAGAAGTGCCGCACTGTCCCACTGTGGACATCAGGGGGGCCTCTGGGAAGACCCCAAAGCCTGGCTGGCAGGCCAGTGCTACGTGCCGAACCTCTGCGACAAAATACAGCCCTCGCTCCTTTCCCTTGTAGGAAATGGGTACCCTTGGATGAAAGCTGCTATGCCAAATTCTCACCTAGGATATTTTCCAAACCCTAATAGCCCCAATAGCTCATATTGGCTTGCTGCAGTTAACGATCTGGGCCAGCTCTTCCATCAGCTGTCTCTGCAAGTCTCTGTTTTTTCTAGGACAGGCTTTCAGATGCTCTCCACCACGGACAAGACAATGTTCCCTGGCATACAACCCAAGCGCTCACGGAGAGGATAAATTCACACACTGTACCACCCTCCTCCCCTCATACAGGTTCAGAGGTTATTTCAGAGTGAAATGGGACATTCCATAAGCACTTTGGCTCACAAACTCCTCCAGATGAATAGGCTCTGGGCAAATAGGACATGCCTTCTCCTCTGGCAGATGATGGCAAGCACCTTGGAGCAGAGACCAGCTTGGGAAAGCGCCTGAGCTTGACTTGCTGGGCTGGGGCTGAAGTCCCTGCACCGATGACAGGGTGAAAAAACAGCCAGTAAGACCTTGGAAGGTGTTTCCTACACATCTATGCTAGAAATAAGAAGGCTAAAGAGAAGATAAGTGACAAAGGCTGGTTTGTTCTTGGTTTGATTTTTTTTTTCCCTCTACTTAAAGCTGCTAAGGCAGGTAAAGGCTTTATGCTGGCAGAGAGGATTTTGGCCTCCCCTGGCCAGACAGCTCAGCCCGCGTGACAGCCTCTGCACCTGCCAGCTTCAAAGGACATGGGTGAGCGCCCTGCATAGAGGCATGAAGGTGTTGGTGGCTTCTCCATGCTGGGACTCAAGCTCAGGTCTCTCGACTCTCCCACCACAATAACAAACTTAGCAGCCCAGGGAGAAGAAATGCTTCTGGCTTTCCTTTCACCACAATAATGTACTGATGATTAAAAAGAAACCAAACGCACACAAACCTGCTAGCAGTGTCCAACTCACCCCAAAATAGCCACTGACCCACAAAACAACATGAAGTCCAAATACAGATCAGAGCAAACTGAAGGCGCCAGGGCTGACCAGCAGCACAAGTGCCTGTCACCTCACCCTTCCCTGCGTGTCCCTTGCACGTAGCTCCCTGACAAAGTTCTGACTTGTTGCTGGGTTTGTTACACTGTGCACAGCCCAGGGAGTCCTCAGAGAGGGCAAAAGCGTTAAGTTCAGTCAAAAGAGCCTCTATATACAACCTGTGGTACCTTTCACACCTGGAATACAAACGTGAAGGCGTTACAGAAATATGAACATTCTTGAGGAAGCCAAGGTGGGAAAGGACTTTGTTAAGCACCTGTCCACATGCCAATGTGAGTAAGAACAAGGCAAAAATGTGCTTTCATGTGGCTGCACTAACTACAGGACTTATTCTAGCAAAAAGTTAAGACAAATAGCATCCCTGGCAGGAAGGAAAAGAAAACCAGTATTTGATTCAGCCTCTTACAGGGCTCCAACATCCAAACAGACTGGTGACATTTAATGCTGTGTGCTCAGTCCTGCACCCACTACTCAGCTGGGACACCGCCAGTGGTTTTCACAGCGAAGAGCCAAGACCTCAGCCAAAAAAGCAATGTGTTACGCAACCCAAGGAAGAGCTCCAGGCCATTTCAGCCACCTCTCTTTAATACACCCTAAATTACCACTAGGAAATTCCTGACATTAAAATGCAAGAGTGGCCTTGTTTCTGCCCAGTTTCATCTCGCAGGGATAAGGCACAGTCCAACCCTCGGCGCAGTGAACACAGGGCAACAGGTCACTGCATGTCCCCAGCAGTCTGGCTGTGCTCTCCTCGTGGCTGTGACAAGCTGCAGGCAGAGGGGAGCAGGGAAGGGGTGCTCCCCATCCACCCCCGTGGTTCACAGGCCACCTGGAAGGACGATGCAAGGACCCATCTCCTCATTTTACCCATGTTCACATCCCCACTTTAGGACACAGGCACAAGTCAGTGACGCTTTTCATAAAGACAACAGATTAATCTACCAGCAGCCACTAGGAGACAGTAAGTTTGGAAAGAGGTACAGTCATGCTTTGTTTTGGAAAAGAAAAAAAAAAATCTCTTTTCACTTCCAGCCAACCATCAAAAGAATTGCAGCTGAACAGGCTGAATACAGCTGTTGTCAGAGCTGGTCCTCACCAAGCCATTATTCCAACCCTGGAGGGATGGGGTTTGCCTCCATGGGGACGCAGCAGGGAGCGAAGGCAGTCCGAGCTCCACACTCTTTACGTGAGCAGACTCCAAAAATAACACCCACACAGTACAGGTGTAGCTGGATTTTATTTATAGAGAAAGAAGGGAGCCAGGGCTGCATCCCACATTTCTTCAGGTCAGTAATGGTGGGCAGATGGGGAGCAACGATGCCCATACTCCTGCGTTCCCTAACTACACACAATCCATATTCCTCAAGTGTCACACGGGTTACATATATCAAAGTGTTTACATCCATCATCTGTACAAGATGCATTTGAGCACTTGGAAGCAATTTTATCACTGTAAAGCTGTTCTCCCACTCCTGAGCATACCTTAAAGCTAAACAGCAACAGATCCCTTTGGGATTAAATAGGCACAGATGTCCTCTCAGCAGGACTTTCCCATGGAAGTTACATCCTCATGGTTCTGGAGAGCTGTGTCATTCTCTGTATTGCAAAACACCACAGAGACAGGAGAAGCAGCTTTGAAATATTCAACATAATCTAGCAAACAGGCACACTTGACACAGTGACCAGGCACACATCACAAGTTTACGTGAGACAAAAATAAATACAGACACACAAAAATAAGTAACTGCCAGCAAAAACAGACTCCAAAAAGAGTGACACCACCCTAACTGCAACTGGATACCACAGTAACTGCAAGTACGATGCTGTATTTTTTGCCTGCAGGAAGGGAAGCCTCCCAATAGTTTTTTTCAGGACTCATTGCAGCCCCCCCCGCCCCCCAAATAGCAATCCCTTTGCAATGCAACGTATATCACATTACAGTCTGCCACTATTCAGCAGCACAGACACAAAACAGCAGGAAAAACTGCAGCCAGTCTCTCCCACGGCAGCATCGTGCTCCGAGTACCCGATGGCAGCGCAGGCTGAGAGCTGAGCTACGTCTCCCAGATCCTGGGCGTGAGGATGGCGACAGCAGCGTAAGGGGCTCCCAAGGGGCTGCGATACGGGGGGCAGCTGGCTGCCGACACCGTGTTAGATAAACTGGCTGATAAAACACATTTCACATCGCAAATATCTCCCCTAAACCCTGAATTCAAGGCAGATGTACAGCACTGGCTGCCTGAAAGCAATATTGGACATCAGCGCAGACTCTCAGATTAGAAACCCGCCGGGTGTCTTCACAGCGGGGCTGCGTGCGCCACGGCTCCAGCACGATGCTCTTCGCCTCACCCCGTCCCAGCCGCCTCACCTGGGCTGTGCGCACTGAGGAACCGGACAGGTGAGCAAGCACGTGTCCGTCGGGCAGCACGATGCTTTAACAGAGCTTGAAGTGAGTACCAGGGGGTTTTTACCTGGTAGACGTCCCGGAGACCACACCATGCTCGCAGGGCTTGCCGGCAAGCCCGCAGCCGGGCGGCATACCACCTCCTCAGCGCCGCCACCGTCACCGTCCACACGAAGCGGCTCCCGCTGAACAGCAGATCCTCCACCCCGCACATGAACACCGAAGCCATGAGCCGCTCCGCCGGCAAAACAGAATCCCCGTCCCGGCTGGCTCTCGCTGGCTCTCGCTCCCTCGCTCAAACGCCTGGCACGATGGCAGCCCGGCTTTATACGGCGGGTGGAGGCCAGGGGTGTTGCACAGAGCCAGGGTCAAGCCTTAAAACAAACTCGTCTTTCACGGCGCTTCCTGGGCAGATTCCCAGGCATGCCCCGGCCAGCGGCGCCTGAAGCCGAGCCAGCGGCTGCAGTAGCTCAGCCCTACCAGCAGCTCACACAGCAGCCTTGTCCTTCTTAGCAGCTTATATAAATCTCTGTTAAGCTCCAGTAGCTACCACTATGTTTTCTAATTAAATTTTAACCCTTTTGCCGTATGCCCTGACAACCACCCCATTTAGACGCCGCAGGAAGAGAAGGAAACCGCTCGCCAGCGTTAATCGCCGCCGCAATTCAGTAAGCTGGGCAGGCGCTTCACACGCAGCTCCCGCCTAACGCCCAGCGCTCTCTGCCTCCAACACCTCATTATCTGCAGCACAGGGAACAAAGCTGTCATCGTTTTCTCCCAGCTGATCCTGTGCTCAGATTATATGCTAGAAATCCTATTTTAAAAAGCACTTTTGGGCACCAGGGAACGGAGGAGGAAAAAAAAAAAAACCACACAAAAGGATCAGAATACACCTGCAGAAATAGATGCAGTAACTTCTCTTCCAGTTCAGATCATGGCAGATGCCCACAGCGCAAAGCCATCTCCCTGCTCCGCGCCTCCCTTGGTCATTGCATCGTACCGATTAAACGCTCAACACCTGCTAAAGAGACAATTTTGCTCTACCCCTAAACTAACATAATTCCATTAATGCAGCACTGGCTGCATGAGAAAAACAAAGCTGCTTACACTAGCCGAGCTCTTCACAAACAGCCCGCTGCAAATAAACACTGAAATAATAGCCCACGAGAGAATCCAGCCTTGCCTTGATAGTCGGTATAAAAATTAAGCAGCACCCTGCCCTTCGGGGGCTCAAACTGCTAATGCCAGCAAGCTGCACCTTTCATTTGTGAGCTCTCTCCTATTAAAAGCTAAGAAAGGGTGTAAGTCAAAGAGCAATTAATCCTTTAAGACCCCTCAGAGGATTTGACATTTCTTAAGCTTTTGGGGACAGAAGCTGTGGGGGGCCCCCCATGCCACCATCAGCACCTTCCTGAACAAACTCCTCAAAGTGCAGATTTTTGGCTAAAACCATCAGCAAGAGCAACCTCTCTGTTAAAGTAGTCTCTCTCGTGCAATGAAATGAAGGAGAAGGGGGCAGGAACAGTTTGCATAAAGACTGCATGAGACACCTAAATCCCACGGTGTTGCTGGCAGCGCTTCCCCAAGGGCACTGTCTGCAGACGGCCTCTATACCAGCGTTACAGCAGTGCTGTCCCAAATGCTCTTCATGGGAGGAAGACACCCTGCATGCTCAGAGCACAGTGCAAGTATTCACAAAACTCATTTAATTCCATATTAATCAACCTTCTTCACATTGTAAGAGCCTACACTCATGCACCATCAGCTCCCATGTTGTAGGTGGGGGGATGTAATTCTGTAGGCAGATGACTGCCCGTTTTAGACAGGCTTTGGACCTGTGTGTCTCCCAAACATTATACTTTTTCCTCACACATATTGAAGTAAGAGCAACTGCTCCTCTTGGTGCTGCTATCTATTGGCTGTGCTGCTGCCAGGGGGTTTAAATCTCTGAGCCTTGCTTTCACATGGGGAAAACAACAACTATATTTCAAATGTTATTAGGAGCTGTTACAAAGTGAGCCAGTGCAGAGAGATACAGCTTGCTGTAACAAGAGGCAAGTCAAGACTCAAGCTCTGCAATTGAAATCCAGCATCCATATGCCCACCCCAAGAGTTTTATTGCTCCTTTGAATGCTGTCAGAGCCTGTGGCCACAAGTCATCTTCCTCTTCCTCCAATGTTGCCCATCACCACTGTTCTGTGTTTAGAGAACATCAACACAAATGTACAAAATGGAAAACTTTTGGTTTTCCACCAGGAGAGAGCAGTGACGAATATTTACAGAGAGTTATTCCAATAACGTAAGCCAGCGCCAGGCTCAGCAGCAGCTAATTGCCATTCCCTCAGATAACACTGCTTCAGAGAGGAACCAGCCAGGAAAATCTCCAATGGCATATGTGTTATTGTCATATCCAAGTCATATCCAAATTTAAACAGAGATAAAAAAAGAAAATCTAATTTTCAGCTTCCATTTCAAAAAGAAAAGAAAAGCAGCTTTGTAGTTAAAGAAAGTGCAGGGAAGAGCCCTGTCCTGAGCCAGGAAAATCCAACCAACCCATTAGAAAAAGTTTAAATGCTTCTGCTGTGCCTGCTGCCTTCAGTGCCTGTTTTCCTTATCACCTAATTAGAATGGAAAAATTAAGGATGAGGATTTTCTCCTTTAACTCAGCACAAGGGATTTTTTTAAGTTGGTCTACGACCCATGGTATCTTTAAATAAGAACTCACAAGTTTTGCAGTTACTCTTTATGCTTCACGAGTTCCTGTGTGCCTGAGCAATGGCCTCAGATAACTCCATCTCAGAAGGCAGAGCCACATGTACTCAGGCCCTCCCTCCTCAGCTCTCCCAACTGCTTTACCCATCAATATTTCCATTACCTTGTGCAGGCTTTATGCTCTTATAGTAAAGTTATATCTCCATGTGTAGGCTAGAGCAAGGCAAGAACCTTTTCCCCACCCTTGCTTAGCGTACATGGACTTCAAGTCCAGTCTCATGAATAAAAGCTTCACACACATCTTGTCATCCCTTGTGCAGACAAAGCAGATAAATATGAAGCAAGGGCCATCTGGACTTCACCTCCCCAGGTGACCCAAGTGCATGAGGCAGTAATCACACCATGGGACACCATTCCTTCAACCTGGGGCATAGCCTTGAACACCCACAGAACAAAAAAGAGCAAAGAAAGTTTATGATGCAAAGAGCTAAATGCAATTTAGAATAATCTGGGGGGTTTAATATGCAGCTGATGAATTATCCATTCAAATCAATCTTAGTCTTTTATCAGCTTCCATTTTCAGAACCTGATTGCAAAGTGGGTTAATTTGAAGTACCTAAATAATATCCAGGCTCCTTAGAGTCAGAACAGAAATCACAGAAAATTCAGCAAGGGAAAGCCAGTAAGGATACCCAGATGATTTCCAAAGGCTGTAGTATCCAGATGTCTATTCTATGAGGAAGGGGGCAGGGGAAGATAGGTAACTCACGAAAAGTCTCTACAGATATACGTACCACTTCCAAGGGAACACACGAGACAGCTACCGCAAATCTATTTGATGTACAGTCATATGAACAGCATGGCATTCATTTCTAGTAAGGAATAAGCCTACACAACAGGAACCTAAGCAGAACATCACTTAAAAAAGAGATAGAAAACTTGATGTGTGGCAGATTCATGCTTTTCCTTACATTATTGATCATAGTTCCAGAACAATAAGTACTAGAAGAGAACAAAGGTTTGCTACCAACATAATAGGAAAAGATGATCCCAAGTGGATTTTCAGGCTTCCTTGCATGTTATCTTCTGTGCCAGAATGAATGGAACGAAGCTTAGCTGAATTGCTGCTCCTTTTCAAAATAGCTCATATGAGGTTTACATGAATAGAGAATTCATCTACCTGCGAGACCACAGGACAAGCGCCTCAATCTTCCCTCTTATCTACAAAGCAGTACTGCCCCTAGATATGGCTTTTGATCAGGCATACAGGAGAAAGGACACACACACAAAGTCCCTAGTGGCAGGTAATGAAATTAAAGCTTTGATCATTTTTGGTCTCAACCTTCAACAGTAAAAGGTAAGTTATTGTGCAGATGCACAAAATGCCTAATGATATGGGTTAGCAGATGTTAAACCAGTGCTTTAAAAACACACTTTAATCCATGACTGCAACCAATATTCGTAACATTATGTAGAGCAAGCAGTAGAGTTCAGCGATGACAAAAAAAAACCACTGAGACAGCCCTCACAAGGTTGTGAGAAAAAGTTCTGTTTCATGGCACACATCACTATTTTGAAATCTGCTGTCACCTCAACTGCAAGGGTTCAAACCCTCAAGCCCTGACACCCTGGATTGGCCTCAGGGCAATGGTAAGCATCGTTGAGGTCCATGTTAGGACCCAAAGGGCTGTGGTACCACATTGTCCACTGAATTCCCATGAGAAACCAGCTGCAAACCCACCTCATCCTGCTATACCCAGACATGTTTCTCCTTTCTGCACAAACCTGTGTGCAGGTTTTCATCAAAATTCTCCCATTTTGCTCCAGTTACAAGCCAATGGCACATGATTACATTGCTTTTAAAAATACATTTAAAATACACCCAAAGGTGCCGATTTACAGGAGTTTGCATGAGCATGAACAACAGGATTACTTGGGGATTAGGACTTTCTTAGACAATGCTGAAGCTGCATATCTGTAACAGTTTTTTTAAAAATTCC